AGGAGAAAAAGATTTAACTGACAGTGGCCTGGCAATAAAAGCAAACAACTCAGCAACTTTTGTCAGATTTTTCTTGAAAAATGTTGCTAAATCACCATTAATGATCAGAATATGTCATGGCTATCGCCTTTTTCAAATTGAAATCCTTGAATTTACATAACTTTAACTTCTTTTTCAAAGTCTAAAAACCTACCTTAACTGATTTTTCGGCCAAGCTGTAAATACATCATTATCTCTGCCTGGACGTAGCCTAGAGTGGATCATGCATTCGGTCGTGTGTGTGCGTGTGTGAATTTGCCTGTCTGCAGCTAATCTCGCAAACTACTGGATCAATCAGCCTAATATTTTGTGAGCCTATGAATGACTGTGCTCTTATGGTTGCAGTGATTCACAATTCACACAAAATTTATTTATTAACTGTTTTGTATGTCATTAGCCCTTTTTAGGTAGGAATTGTGCAAATTTGCAGGAAAGCCCAATCAGTCTTTTTTCAGCATTGGCAGTATGAAAACAAAATCGGGGAGTGCGGCAAAATGCCGCCTACCTACTTTTGTTTATACAGATTGCGCCTTTTTCGGAGCAATGGGGGGCGTAAGCAAGTAACAAAACATGTAGCTCAGCATGTGACGTAAACAGTGATGTGGGAGGGAAGCCGCGGCTGGTCAGTCCTTCGGCGATTCTTTACCGTGTCTGTCAGGTTTGTGTTTCCCTCTTGCTACTAGCTGCTCGCTAATTCTTGCTATCAGCTGTTTCCTGTTCGCACGTGCGCCATCATCAACAGCTCCTCCCAAAAGTCATCAACAGCCGCCAATATGTCTACCCTACGAGGCAGAAAATTGGGCACCTCGGATCAACTCGCCAATCCGGCTCAGTGTGTCTAAACGCTTGCAGCTTGTCGGCAAAATGGCCCAACATTCGTGGAAAATCTGGCAGTGTAAAAGGGGCTAGTGACAGCTGACTCCTCACTTGTCTCAAAAAGCTGTTAGGGGCAAGAAAGTCACATAGCAAAAAGGGCTGAAAAACAACAAGCCTTATCTTATCTTTTACAGGCAGTGTAGGAGGTTTAAAAAATATTTGGGTGGTAATTTTGCCCCCACTGTTTAAAAAAATTGGGGCATTTACAACATTTTGGGGCCACTTTTTTTTTTTTTTTTTAGAAAATTAGTAACTAGTGCATAAAGTTGCTGTCTCTGGGGTGAAATGAGCCCAGATTAAAATGCCTGAGTAAATAACACACACTATTGCTGTTCCAAAGAGAAGTGTGCAATTAGCTGTAATTGTTCACACATACCCATCTGTATGTGTGAGAGAAAGCAGGAGACAGGTTTAACTATTTAGGCTTGTTTTTTTTAGCTCTAAATACCCTTCATTGTGTATAATGCATTAGTTTATAGATATATTTAAAACTTAATCACAGTCTTCCAAGTGAACTTTTTTTTACATCCTCTTCAGAAACTATAGAGGGTCTATTGGAAATATTTTGGGGGAAAAAGGCAGCGTTTCAGTGCTGACGTTTTGAGAATTGATTGAATAAAATAATAAACTTGACTATCCAACACTGCATCATTAGTTAGTAGACTGAAAAAATATGTTGTAGATTTGGTACAAGCTCACTTCACTTGGTGCACTGAGCTAAGGAACGTCAGCACTGAGCAGCCCACTGATGATTTCATCCAGCCACCAGTTGAGAGGCAATCCTGCATCTACAATCAAGTCGGCTGTGAACAACCCCTTTCACATTTTAGTATTCATTTGATCCATTGTTAATATATGAATATTGTACGGGTGCAGCTTTAAACACATTCATTTTCATATCTCTCACATTTAAGAGTTTTTACAGTGTTTTCTAGGCTGCTGCTGACAAGGTTCATTATTTTATGTGTGATGTGAGAAACGTGTGTGAAGCTGTCATTATCACAAGCAAAGAGGCATTGAAAAGTGATTTTGGAGAGATGAAACTGAACTGTTAAAAACAGCATGTGACTTGAGGAGGAGATGACTGAAGGTTATTTTATTTTTACTGTAATTTCCACTTACAGGCAATGGTTAAGGAATCCCTTGAGGGTACAGAAACACCTTTAAAATGGATCTGTGCCAACTGTGCGAGTTATCAACACCCTAACTTCAGTGTGAAATCGATGTGCAGTCCTGTGCTTGTTTTCAAACTGGCTCCGTCTCCAAACTTGGCTGATAGAAATGGCTTCCAAAGTGATACTTCATTGACAGCACTTGTTGGAACAGTGTGAGGTGGAGCTGGAGCAGTAATCATTCTTCAGAAATGCCTCAACTAAAAGCAGCATGATGTATTTTCAATTTTAAAAAGATGAAATAAATGAGATTATTGTCGATCCAGATAGGTTTTGTATGGGCTGCTTCTTCAGCAGCATAAATAGTTTCCATCAAGGCTTTTATCATGAGACTGACTGTGTCCTTGATGGTAGTGAGTGAATTAACAAGGCAGATATCGATCTTTTGCTGCGAGTTTCCTCTGTAGCTTTTTGATGGTGATTTAGAGAGTGAGAGAGACAATTGGGGAGAGAGACGGAGAGAGGGCGATCAATAGTGTTTGCAGGTTTGCTGTATGGAGAAAGGTGACAGGCAGCGAGAAGGGCATGAACGAGGCGTCGGATTGATCGGCAGCAAAATGCGACAAGCTGATTTAAGTTTACCTTGACGTGCATGATTACAGACGCAAGGTTGTCAGTGATTTTGCTATTATGTGACAGAATCAGCATCTTGTACATTCACTTAAATATCTCTGAGAATATTTGATTTTGGCTGGATCAATCAGATATCCAAGAACATCAAAAATGTTCCCACTTTGTCCTGTTCAGGCCTGAAAGACTTGAAAGCCATTTAGCACATTAGCAAAGAGGTTAGGCACTGGCTTGGAATAAACCAGAGCGAATGACATATGATGTTTGAGAGAGATGGATGGTGAAGAAAGGTTATTTTAGTTCACGACAGCCTCATCAACCAACACACAGTTATAGGCACTGTTTCTTCTTTGGGATTTCTCAAGAACAATGGAGATTTTAGATACACCAGAACTATTAAAGCTGCTATAATAAATAATTTTATATCAATAATAGATCAAATTACTTCATGTAATATGAGGGGGGTCACTTTTAACTACGAACGCAAGAAGAATTACCATCTGGCACTGCAGTTAGCCTCAGCCACAGGGAACTATAGTATGTTTTAGCATCTTTAAGCTGATGGTTTGGGGTCATTCTCACCATTTTGGTGGCATCTCAGCATACTAAACTACCAACTGTCTAATACACTCGGATTACCACACCACAGGCTGTATGGATTGTAGCTGCTGCTACCGCGGAAATGTAAGCACTGCACCAGGGACAGTTGTGAGAGTCCACCAGCCCACACACAATGACAGGGCTACCTTTTAGCATAATGCAGCTAACGTTACCTAGCGAATATTAACAGGTTTAATGATAGAGTCCACCTGTCCGGGATCAGACCCGCGGCGCAAAAAAGATTGAATGTGGGTATCGTATAAGTGGAGAAGTTTCAATACTACTTGGAACTGGATTATAGCAGTCAACACCTGAAAGGTATTGGGTCCTGATACCTAAACCTATTCTTGCCTCTCTCATTAGCGTTGTTCAAGCCACAGCAGGAGGCTCTAAAAACAGACTATACACTACTTTCCAAACATCAAACAGCAGACAGACAATGTTAGAAACTAGCGACTGAATATAGTGGAGCATTTACCAGCTAAAGAGCCTGAGTTGGTCGCGACCAAAGCAGTGCTAAAAGACAACTGATATTGCTGCTACAAAATAGCGACAAAATAAATATTTTTTACTGAAAGCACTAATAGAAATGCCTGGATAAGAATGCAGAGCACCTCCTACTGGTGATGTCATGATTGTTTTCTTCTTTAATAAATGCTAAAAAAAAATGCTCAATCAAAGTGACACTATCTGTTTCCTGCATGAGAAACCCTCAGCCATTCATCCAACCAGTAATTATTCTTGACCTTCATAATCTGACCCTGCCTCTGTCCCTGACACAAGTAAGAAGAGAGCTTTGACATTTGCTGGTCTTTGTCAATAGGTCATGATGAAAGCACAGACGCAGAAAGGCGGGGTTGCATGGACATTTATTGATCTGGCTGTCTCGCGGTTAGCTGTACAGATAGATGATAGGCACAGGAGGAGGAAAAGACTGAGCTGTTTTCCAGGAAGTACAACAAAGGAACGCTTTGTGAGGCGCTCGTGTGTGTCCATCCATCTAGTGCTGTCCATTCAACCCGGTGAAGATGGCAGGGTAATTCACTTAGCTTCCACTGTGGATGGCCATTATCTCTGGGTGGTGTGCCTGTCTGCGTATGTGTTCTGCCATGATATCATCATGGCACTCACTTAAGTATATATCACAGCTGATTGATATCTGCCGTCTGGCAATAATTGCTAAATTGTGGACCTTTTAAGGCTGTTTGGCTGTGCACTCTTTGCTCAGCAACACAACTTCTCTCACAATTAATCTAATTTCTCACTTAAGCAGTGAACTCAAAACAATCACAGCTGTACAGATGCTCTTGTTGTCAAAGCTCCAGTACATTAACTAGGCTACACTGCAAATTTAGAGTAAAACAACTTAACTGATGGCGATCAATGCATTTTAAAAGCACACTGTATTATGCAGAGTTGTCTGTGACTCTTCGTAAACATGCCTTCCAGAAAGAGGTGTTTCACCTTGCTATATTTGCACGTTTTCAGCTCTGTCTCTTGGATGCCTGCTGCTTATAGTCTGGCACCTAATTGCTACCTTTTTATAAAGCCCTAACGAGTGCCCAACCAATTTGGGATTTTTGAAACCGAAATCGATAACGATATTAGAGAGAAAAATTAGTATATTGAATTTTTGAGCCAGAATAAAAATAGGCTTTTCTATGTGGTTTGTCTTCTGATTTGGCACCAATATGACCATGCAAAGATACTCAGAAGGCTGCTTTCTTTAGAAAATGACTTTATTGAAGAAAACTTGACATTATAACACACTGTCAACAAATTCTAGAAATGAACAAATGGCTGGTTTTGCTAGATGCCTGGCTTGTCTTTGCTTTGCAGGTATTTGCAGACAAGAACAACATCTTAGGAGATGTAATCCCACACTGTTTCAGTCATCTGTAGGCGATAAGAGTTAAAAAAAACAAACATTTTATTTGAGCTGTTCCTTTTAAATCATCATATATTTTACATATAATATTGATCCGAAAAGTAACTAGCAACTACAGTTGTGAAATAAATGTAGTTGAATAAAATGTACTGCTATAGTGGAGTAGAAGTATAATGTAGCCAAAAATGGAAATACTGAGATAAAGTACAAGTACCTCTAAATTAACCAAAGTACAGTACTTGAGTAAATCTGACCGACTTAGTTACTTTCCACCACTGCTCTCTACTAAACCAGCCAGCTACATGATTGATGCTACACACTTGTTCCTATTCTAAATCATTATTTCATTGAACACATTTAAATTTTTGTAAATGCGACAACTGCAGCTGTTGGGTTGGGGTTTGTACCAAACTTTGATGCCTGAACAAAACAGTCTGGTGTGAATACATGCTCGTTCATTAGCTTCCACTTGTCTGTCATGGTACAAAGGAGCTATGTGATTAGCTAGTTAGTAGGGTTGGGTACCGTTCATAATTGAACCAATACGGTACTGGTACCGGTATCTGGAATTCGGTACCAGTATCAAATGGTACCTTATTTCGGTACTTTTTAACCCTATGGGCCCTAGGCATTTTTGGGGTATTTTTACTTCCTTTACTTTTAAGCTCATATCACAGTCATTATAAAGGCTACATACATATGCTATATCTTGTTTTTTTTTCAGGACAATCTGGGCTAACCAGATTTGCCATCATTCCATGTCCTTCTATGTGCCTGTATTTTATATTAATTTTTATATCAATGAAAAAAAAAAATCAGTGTAACTAAATTCTTACATTTTTACATGTATCTCACCATAGCAAGTTGGAAGTTGACATATTCTGCCATATATGAAATGGGGAGACTCTCTGGAATCTGGCAATATAAAAACCATGATGGTGGGACATTCTGTCACTTCACAGTTATCCAAAACATGTGGTTTGTGCCAGGCGGACATGATTGCCAGTATTTTTTCATCATTGCAAGAAATTCCACTGACTCATTCACAAGTCAAAAATGTGTTTTATCTGAAAGACACATGCAATATTTACATCTAAGATCATAGAAAAATAGTCAACCAAGTGCAATGATGTTCTCCAAGATAATATTTGTTTTTCAGTTTCAGTTATATATTGGGGGGACATTTTGGGCATTGGTGGGGGGGCACGTGTCTCCCTCAATGTATATGGTGACTACGGCCCTGTCAGCATGCATAATTAGGCTGCAGTTGTCTGGGTGTGCAAAGGTGAAGTGCGCTTGTCTTGTCATACAAAGTTTGATGGAGTGTCAACTGGACAATATGGAAATATTTGCATCTTGAAAGCCGGACTACAAATGTGGATAGACAGGGAGAAACACACGCAAGCCTAAGACGTGGTAAGATACGATATTCCTCACTATATGAAGTGACTGATAACAAGATCTGTATAATGGATTGTAAAGAAATTTGTCAGGTTTTTATTTTGTAGACAATAGATCTGGATTTATAGCGTGATGGGATGACAGCACAATGATGTGTGTGGTCCTGCGCTTTCATGTGATATGCGTGGCATTTCTGTGCGAGCCTGCGTTCGTGAGTAATCCATCCAACAGTAATGTGTGTGCAAAGCTGTATGAAAGCTCTGTTATACATCATTTTATTGTAACTTTTATCAATTTTTTTCGCTGTGAAAACATTGGATTACCGACAAGTGCCAGGCCTTGTCGGAAAGCTACAGTTCTGCTGTTTCCGCTGATATGCGTGGCTTCTCGCTATGACGCACGGCCCTGGAGAAAATCCACAGAGAAGAAAGGGTGTGAATTTGGACGCACTATGCGTTGTTCGGGCCCATAGTCTAAACTTCTCAGTTTCAACATTTTGTTGAGAACATTTAGGAACAGTGCTGCACGTGAACTTTTGTCTGCACATTTTTTTTGTCGCCATTGGTGCTGAGTCTGAGGTGCAAGTCATGCGCTCTTGCTCTGCCTCCACCTCAGGTACCGAAATTTGGCACCGATTCATTTCAAGTGAATCGGTACTCGGTAGTACCGACGTGAATCGGTACCAAGTACAAAAAGTACAGCGTTTCGGTACCCAACCCTACTAGTTAGCTAATGTAGCAAATGAGTAACGTTACAATAAGCTTGTTGTGAAGTTGATAAAAAATGGGGACACTGTTTTCAATCTGCGTCATGACTGTACTGACAAACTATAGGTGGCTAACACTAGCTACCTTGCTAACATAGCAAACAGATAGATGTGATAAGCATGAGTGACGTGGACACTTTTCAAGGAAAATGTTAACATTAAAGGGAAAATGGTGGTGTCATTGTTTATTAACTTTCCAATATATATTTCACAAACTAGCTGACAACTTACCATGAAGAGACTGCTCCACTCCGCTCCGCTGGCGTCTGATCAGCTGTGAGTGCGACACTCTCTGCTAACATTACAAGAGGATGGGCCACACAGTGCTAAGAGCATTGTATACAATGGAGTCGGAGCGCACTTTGCTGGATAAATCACCCCAAGCATTGTTTTCAGCAATATATGTTATGGAAAAAATGTTTTCATGTCCACGCATATCAGAAAATGTATACCCCGATAATGAGCTATCTGTGATAGGTGCATAACTATAATATCAGGCTTTTTGGCTTCATTTTTTGAATCTATCCTTTACAAAAATTTAATCAGAAAGTTTTTAGTTGTGCTATTTAAATATTTGCAAAGGCTCACTCCACAGCATTCAAATGCACATCTTGCAGACGAAACAGCTGAGGTAAAAGCAAAACTTACTGAAAACAGAGTTTGGTTAACAGGCAGTCAGAACAGGTGGTCCAGTGTGGCAAAGCAGGTGGGCAACAAAGCAGGTAAGGGGTCATTATCAAAGCGAGCAGGAACAGGAGGACAAAAAGGCTGGAACACTTTGGCAGCACAGATGGCAGCAAACAATAACTGAAGGCCAGGTATGCTGGGGAGCTGATGAGGGAATGTGGAGCAGGTGTGCAGGTGGGTGTGGGGGGACAGTTGATGTTGAAAGGTGGCAACACACTGAGGACAACTGCTGGACAGGGAGGGAACTGCATGTTCTGAAATGACAGCAGGCATGAGGGACTGTATGAAAGTTACTAGGGGGGAGAGGTCGTCAGAAAAGGGGGAGTGATTTCTATGGCTTCATGGCTTTATTTTCTCCGAATAATCACATAAGGAGCTGATAGGACCAATATGTTTGCTTTGAAAGATAGCACACATGTGATTGAACATTAACTCCAACAAAGAGTGCTTTATTTTCCTGTACACTTGCTCTGCAATTCTGCTTTAGAACAGAGTGTAGGACTGGAATACAAGTGTTACATAAATATAATATGATGCACGTTCAGCATCGCATATTGCCAATTGCTTTACTAATCAGTGTCGTGAGATAAAACATGTTGACTGTGGTTGTCTGTAGTTGTCAGTCCACGATGAAATGTAGAACCACTTAAATCATCTTTTCTATAACAACAACACTTTGTTAGCATGGCATTTTGTTTGCCAAACACATTGGTGGCACTTATTGTGAAAATTTATGTTCTATCAAGAGACTAAGGCTGGGTTGGAACAACAAAGATTAACTTAAACCTGATTAAATGATACTATCAAGTTGCATCACATTTTAAAACTAGCATAAAATCAAAAAAGATTCAATTTTAACATCTCTTTAAACATTAAACTTGCTCTTGAGGAGGTGTAACTTTTAAAATGGCTGCCTTTTCCAGATGGATTAAGCAAAATAGTACTGCTTCGAAGAGAGTTAAGGGACAGAGTTAACCCAATTGAGTTTTATGATTGTGCTGAACTTCTTTCAAGATACTGGTTCAGCAAGAAAACTGTTGTGAAGCTTCACAGGAGATTGGCGCAACTGTTAAACATGGCAGTGAAAGAAAGAGAAGTTACAACTCTCTGCCAGTTGCTGCCAGGCAGTCTCCCTTTTCCATACTGTGCTGTTGTCCTTTTTTGTTTGTTTTAAACTTCTATTATTTGGCAGTTTTGCACCATTAATTCTTCCAGCAAGTTCTTTCTCAAAAGAGGAGAAATTGGAACTTCCTGCCAAGTCATCATGGGTAACATTACTCTTAGGCTAACTGACTTTTTAGCTAGCTAATAAACACTGTGGAATTTTGTTAAGGAATAAAGAGCAGCTGAAAGTTAAATTACTTATTTTATTTTGGGTAAGCAAGCATCTCCATATTGATTGAACTCTATTTAATTGTAGTTTGCATCAATAAACATGGATTTTCTAAATGGCGATTAGCTTTAATTGTGCAACAAAACCCTGCTTAAATTTTAAATCTGGATTGAGGCATTTTAAACCTTGTTTTCCAAAACTCTGATTAGAACTAATCTTAGATTAAATTAATCTACGTAAATGTTTAAATCAGGGCACATCATCTTGATTTCTCTATACCGATGTATTATATCAAGACACAGAGTGGAGGGTGTTACAGTTACAAAGTTAAAGGTATCATTTATACTTACTGGACTGCTAAATAACATTTTTTGTGTTTGAGGAATTTAAGAGAGAAGTCACAGATACAAGAAAAGGGGGGAAAACTGAAAGGTTCATCTGTCTCCCCACAAAAATAACTTTCATACAGGCCCTGAGTAACTGATAAGAGTCACACAGAGCAAGAAAGATTTATAATTATTTGTGGTTATTACCAGTTTTTCCTACTGTGTTGTAGCAAAAAGGGCGTTAATAAAACTGCGGAGGGCTTCTTGGTTTATTAATAAAAAGAGAAATTAGTCACTCACTCAAATTTGGTATTTCACCATGAGATACGCCAGTGTGTTTCTTGGCACTGCTTTTGTCAAAACAAATAGTCCAAACTTGCCTTCACCTAATCACACACACTCACTCAGGTACTGAGAAACCCACAAACCGTAAGGGATCTGATTTTTGGGAGCTCATCCAGCAGTCTGTGCTCTTCTCAGCCAAATTCAGTCCACAGAGACTTACTCACAAGGAGAGAAAATCGAATGGAAAACACTGCTGTACACCAGCAGGGTAACAGGTAGTCCAAGAAAGAGGCATCAACAAGTTATAAGAGTGCATATAGGGAAAAAGGGAAAGTGATCACTCTTGTTGTAGGGTTTGAAAGAGAATTTTCCAGAGCAATATTGCTGCAGAATGTCCTTGAATCTGATTTCTTTATTTAACTGTTGAATGAAAGCTCCTGGAAAATAAACTGCAGCCCTGAGGAATGAAAGAAATAAAATGTTCAGCTTTTTATTTGGGCTTTATATTTGGTTGCTGTCTCTGACATCGTAAGGTCACAGTGATCTTTGCGCACAAGATGAACGTTTTCAATTTCCCTTTTATCTATGTTGTGTTCCTTTTGAAAAACTTTTTGAAAATGGCTGAAATTCTCCCGGCGCTGACTCCTTCAGTCACCTCGCTGTTATGCTGGTCATCTCTGAACTCAATAGATAAGAGCGGAAAGCTGTGTTTGTTGGTTGAAAGATTTGTGCGCAGCTGGGTTACAGCAATTTTTTGAAGCGTTGTTCGTGGCAGATCAGAGCGATCCAGATACACGAAAGGTGCTGGAGATGAAAAAAAACTCATTACCAGAGGTAGGCAGGAGCAAATTGGTGTGACAAAAACAAAAATAATTTCACATCTGCAGGATATTAAATGCTTTACCTGCTAGGTTTGCATTGCTTTCTGTGTCATTATTCTCTAACACCCTCAGACGCACTCGATGATGTTTTTCATTTAAACCCTAATCACACTCTCTGTTCGCTCTATAGACTTCCAGTGCTGTGGTATTTCTTCCTGCTCATATTTCTTTTTTAACTGCGGCAGGATATGAGAAATTTGATGTATAGTTTCATCCTCCCTCACTGTGTTGAAGATGTGGCTCATGGTGTTTTGTCAGACAGTTTCTTCAACCTTTGAATCATTCACTGCACACATCCAAACTAAATACTGAATGCTGGCGTAATTCAGTCTAAGATGTTGTTTTAAAACAAAATGCCGGGGCTGTTTGACTAAAATAAAATTCATGTTATCTGTGCAAATATGGCTGGGAAGATATGTGTATCTCCGGATTCAACATGATACTTGGGTACTGATTGGATATCTATTACGATTTTTAAGCACTGTAATTCAATGTTATGATTTATTGTAATTTTTGTTTTACTTATGTAACACTAGATCATAGGAAAAAGTTAAATACCCTGCTTTTTCTCTCTCTATGTTTATCAGACCACAAATGAGACAACAATTAGCTAACCAGCCACCCTGCGGTTCCTCAGTTTCACTCCCCACTGCTAGGAGATTATTTTCCAGTAGTGGTTTAGCGACTCAGCTGGTGCCAACCTGTCTAATCTGTGTAACAGCAGCAACAGAAAGTTTGTTCATACCATGGTTGAATTCTGTCCTCAGACCATCCACCATTTTCTGCTTTCTTGCTTTGGCTTTGTTTTTCTTGAAAGGGATATGATGTCACCTTGCTTTTAGACCACAATAAATTTGAATTATATTAACCAAAGCATTATAAAATTGTTTTTGAAAAATCGTAAAAACAAAATCGCAATTGTTTTTCCCACCCCTACATGCAAAGGTCAAAAAGTAGGTCTTTATGCTAAGCTAAACGTACTGTAAAAGGCTGTAGCTTCATATTTAGCATTCAGACATGAGAGTGGTTTTGATTGTCTCATAACTTTTGGAAATAAAAAGTAATTAGTGTATGTGCCAGAATGTTGAATTACTCCGTTACGTCAAAGAAAGGCATTCTGGACGTATCCTTGAGCTCATGTGCCTACTACACACATTGTCTTATGTATCTCTTTATCTGTCTCTGCAGGAATTTCTACTACATCACCATGCTACGGGACCCTGTGTCACGCTACCTCAGTGAGTGGAAGCATGTGCAGCGTGGGGCCACTTGGAAAACCGCCCTCCACATGTGTGATGGCCGCCCGCCTACTCAGGATGAGCTCCCCGCCTGCTACAGCGGTGAAGACTGGACAGGCGTGCCCCTGGTGGACTTCATGAGCTGCCCTTCTAACCTTGCCAACAACCGGCAGGTCCGCATGCTGGCGGACCTCAGCCTGGTGGGCTGCTACAACATGTCGTCCCAGAGCGAGCTGGAGCGAGGCCGCGTCCTGCTTGCCAGCGCCAAAGCCAACCTGCGCAACATGGCTTTCTATGGCCTGACAGAGTTCCAGCGCAAGACGCAGTACCTGTTCGAGCGGACGTTCGGCCTGCGATTCATCCGGGCCTTCACGCAGATCAACAGCACGCGCGCCGCCAGCGTGGGAATCAGCGAGAAGGTGCGGTGGCGCATTGAAGGGCTGAATGCCCTCGATATGGAGCTGTACGAGTACGCCAAGGAGCTCTTCCTTCGGCGCTACCAGTACAACCGGCAGAGGCAGCACCAGGAGGAGCGTCTGAGGAGGTGGCAGGAGAGGCAGCAGAGGCAGCGGCTGCACAGGACCTATCTGGCTGAGCTGTGGAGACTAGGAGGAGGAGGAGGATTGGAGGAGGAAGAGGAGCAGATGAAGGGGCTAGAGGAGGTAGCCACGACAGAGGACTACAGCAGCCAGGTGGTGAGGTGGTGAGGAGGACACGGGGACTAAAAACCAATGAACTGACTGATCGCTGTTTGATTCATTGTGCTTTACTCTCCTCCCTGTCGCTCCTCTGCTGTGAATCTGCCAAAACCTCCTGCCCTCATAGCCTCATAGCTCTCTGTTGGACTGCCGAACAGTGTCTTAATATTTATGATGGATGTATTTGTCATGGCAACATAAACGTTTTGTATTTTGTTTTTTTCTCATGGCTATTTTTGGCACTGCAGTTGTGAAATGTATTTATTTATTCATTAGCAAGTGCTTTGAATGTCCTCAAAGCGGTGAAAACGTTTCCTAAATTTCGCTAATAATTAGTAAAAAAAAAAAAATGCTTCATGAGGAAGGCCAATTTTAGTCTATTTTAAAAATGGTGAATGACTTGAAGGATCCTCTGTGTCATGTTTGTGATCTAGCGCCGTGTTGATCAGTGAAATCTTGTAGTTACTCTGTGGTGTTTGGCTTCATAAGAATATCAAAGCACAAACTTGGCAATAGTCTGCAGTGTGTTTTTTTCCCTCTCTGACTGATTAAGCTGCAATATACAGAACGGCAATCTCTCGCAGGAAATGTGTTCAATAAAAAATATGCAGCATCCAGTGATGTAAATGTGTCCTTGATGGACTCTCTCTGGTACGCATGTGTACATGAACGTGTTCTACCTTGATCCTTTTTCACAGCATGTCCTCACCATAAAAATCTGAAATCTTCATGCGGTGTGCCAACTTCTTCTATATCCTCGCACGCACAGACACACTGACGCACACTGATGAGGCTTTTTTTTTCCTTCGAGAAGGAGAGAGGAGAGCTGTGGGCCTGAAAGACAGGCTGTCAGAGCCAGTTTCAGCGCTCTTACATCACAGACAGGGAACATTGGTATTTCCACCATTAGTGCATTGATCACAAGCTCTTCGCTTCCAAATTGATCATTTAAAGTTCAATTGACCATGACTCTAGCACAGCAGAAAATAGAGGAAACCAATTGGCTTGCTGAATGCTTTCTCCTCCATAATCTGACAAACATACAGTACTCTGCTCCATTTGCACTCTGCTAGAAAAACAATCTATTTCAACACATTTCTACAGACGTGCCTTTGAGATGTTAGGTGCTGGGATGATTCATATTAATATCCTGCTTCTGGAACATTGTGGCTGTAATAAGCACTTCCCCGACCACTCCACACAGACGTTTTGTTCACGAGGAGGAAAATGAGGATGAGGAGGAGATCAGTCAGGAGGCAGAAAAGGAAATGGCTATGTCCACAGACCAAAATAGCCTCTCCATCCCCAGCTGCAGTCTCTATTCTACTTGCACAGCATGCAACAGAGAAAGATTAGAATTATGTAAGCCTGTGATAATGATGCTGGATTTTACTTCTCAATGCACTCATGCACACAGAGAAGTGACACCTTAAAATGTTACATTAATTCCTCCTTATATCATAAGAGTCCCTGTTATTTGACACAGCTCTCTAATTGTTTTGAATTGTGCTCTGAACCACAAACCGGGTATTGCAGCAGGGTGACATATGGTATCCAGGATGAAGCAGTTTGGACAAATAGTGTAACAGCTTCCTTTATCTACGGATCATGTCTCTCTGTTGACAGGGAGAATTTGTTCCGGGAGGTTTGTGTTAGATGAAGATAAACGGATGTTTTTTGTTCTCAAAGATTTTTTCTGAGTAGCGAAACATTTCAGAACCCTTTGGTCCTTCTGTCGCCAGCTCTCTCCCTCTGTCTATACAGCAACATAGAAAGCAGGATGTAGGCTTTCAAAATGAGGAATGTGCTGCCTGCCTTGTTAGCTCATGGGGAAGGTGAATGCATCTGCAAAGAGAACTCGGCTAAGTGCTCAGACACAACCTCAGAGTCTTTCACAGATCAGTAGCTGCAGGAGGTGTTGGTGGGCTGTAAAATCATTTTATCACACTGTTGGGGAGACAAATGCAGCAAACCATGATGATTGATATAGTCTGGTTTTCCTATCATTTGAAAATTTCCTTCCATTTTCAAAGTACCGGGGACTAAGGAAATGCAAAAATAATTAAATGATGAATTCAGAAAAAGCAACCTCTTAAGAAACACATTGAAAAGTTACTAGTAAACTAGTAACCAAGGCTCTTTTGGTAGCCCAGGCGCCAGAAGAAAATTTTGGCATTTTACATTTCTGCAAACCACAAATATGTTACATTTATATGTTCAGACTCTAGGTTCAGAGAGGCAGTTTGTAAGTAGCTCTCGGGAATTTACAGACCACAGAGCAAGGGATATGTCTGAACTGCTGGCTTATTTATGTAGAAAATTTTGTATTAAAAAAACATAAATTAGTAGCAAATCACACATCTCACACACACACACACACACACAAAGGAATTGTGGGTTATTATCCCTTAAAACCATCCAGAACAAAACCCAAGTATTTCACCATTTAATCTTCTTTTAGTTTGATTTAAATCTATTTGAGTTCAAGAGATAATTTTAACTTAGGGTCCTTTAAGTTGTTTTCTAATTTCTCTTTGACTTCACCCACTTCTCATTTTTTACTTTACCAGTTCACAAGTTTTGAATTTACAGTCACACAACCTGTTGGCATTACTAATCAGGCAAAAAAAATTCAGACACCAGTGACAGGTGAGATAAGTAACATTGACCATCTTTTTATGATGCAATGTTCTGCTGGTAAACCTTGGGTCCTGCCATCCATGTGGATGCCACTTGACACGCTCCACCAACCCAAACAAGCACACCCCCTCATGACAATGGCACTCCTCCATCCCTATGGCCTCCCCAGTAGGACAATGCACCCTGCCACACTGCAAAAACGGTTCAGGAATAGCCTGAGGAACGTGATGAAGAGCTCAAGGTTTCGATCTGGCTTTCAAAATCCCAACATCCCAATCTGATCAAGCATTTTTGGGACATGCTAGTACCCCACTTCACAAACCCACAGGGCTCAAGGGATCTGCCACCACCGCCCTGGTGCCAAACACACCACCAGAGGTCCTGTATCCAGAGCCAAGTTCTGTCCAAGGAGGCCCCACTGTGGATCAGGGATACCTCTGGGATACTGGCACATCCCATGAGTGCTCAATCAGATTGGGATCTGGGGAATTGTCTTGAGCCCTTTGTCAAGTTCATCAGGCCATTTCTGAACTGTATTTGCTGTGGGGCATGATGCATTGTCCTGCTGGGGTAACCACTACCATCAAGGAAGGCCATTGCCATGCAGGAGTACTTGGTCTGTAACAGTGTTTGGATGGGTGGTATGTGGCAAGTTGCATCCACATCAATGCCAGGACCCAAGGTTTCCCAGCAGAACATTGCATCGTAACAAGATGATCAGTGTTATTCACTTCACCTAACAGTAGTTTAATGTTTTGTCTGATCGGTGTATTTGATAGATAAATATTAAAAGTTTAGTCCTACCATGACTCAGGTGAAAGAATCAGTGTCTTAATCCTTGGAGTGTAGGTTGGTCCTGAGGAAGCAGACGCCTGTCCAACACTATTTTTCCTACAGGTGGCTGCCATCTTCATTCTCCAGCTTCAGAACGATCCTCACAACCAAAACCTGGCCTGTTGTATAATAGTGAAATATACACACAAATGTTTTAGTCTTACGTACATATTTCATAGCTAAAGAAAGTACTTCAGGAGGACTAGCACCTAAATGCAGGTTAATGTTAGATTAAACCTGTCTGACAAATAGAGCTACTTGCTCAGATTGACCTACCAGTAGGGGCAGATCTATTGGGATGGACCACTACCTCTGTCCATGTAGAGTAGCTCATTCTGTCGGAAACAGCTATCAGAATGTGCCTCCATGCGCATGCGCCCATTGTGTCGGTGGCTCATTCTGAGTGGTATCTCTATTTGCCAGAGACTGCATCCTTAAAATGGCGGCGCTGTTCACCTCACTTTACTAATAAGGCTGAACTTGACCATGCCTGTTGCGTTTAGCTTTTCACTTTGGTTTACACAAAGAAAACAAAACACAAAGTGCCCATTAGTAAGTTATCTACACTGTCTCATTTAGCTAAAGGCAATTTCGGCTGAGCATTTAGCTTAAAAAACAAGGAAACAGCATGCTAACTGACACAGAAAAATAATTGTCACTCACCAAATCCTTGTTAAAAACTTAGACAGAGCCAGAAACCAGCAGCGTAGAAAGAGGCTGAACACAAAATCCTCCAAAAATAGAAAAAAAAGTTTTATTCCTCAAATATGTGTCTTTCGTTTTATTTCCTTCACCTTTCACCGGCTCGCGATGTCTGTCTCGCGCACTCCTCCTCTGTCACCAGCACGCGGCGATACAGTTACACTGATTGGCTGTTACCGCTGCTCTTCTTAAAGGAACAGTACACACTGTTAAACAGTAAAATCAACAGTGTTATCTTCCACTATACAGTAACTGTTAATACTAATTAACTAAAAACAATTGTCATTTATTTGCTTCCATTATATTTATTATTTGTTTAAGGTTATAAAAAGTAGGCTACACTATTATTGTTGTTATACTATTTAAGGATGTGGTGGCTGCATAGGATTGTTTCCAATGCATCATTCAAACATTTCCAATAACTCCAGAGCATTGTAAAGTCCAAAAGTCAAAATTACTTTTTTCAGAAATCACAACATTGTTTTTATCTCGTGGATTATTCTGCTTTAATCCATGTTTGTTGGCATTTAGCCTTTCAATAACAACATTTGGACAACTCCCACTTGCTGCACACAACGGGAGGCACACACCTCTTTAATGAACAGCGCTACTATAAATTATATTTACTCATTAAATAAAGTTGATTCAATAAAACATACTCATTTAATTCAAACTGAGGATTCTGTTTTAAGATTTTATTTATTTACATATTAGGGTGGTGATGTCAAAAAATATGTCGACAGACATTCAAGGCTTTATTCAAAAACTTTAATAGAAGCTTTGATGTAAAAAACAAAAAAAACAAAACATATATATCTGGTACAGCCCTTGTAATTATTTATCATCCATGGTTGTATTACATATAACTCAGTACAAAATACAGATGTTTGTTTTCTAACAAGATGATAATTTTATGATTCTTGAAACAGACAAAATACTATCAGGCTAATACAAGGCTAAAATGAGCTCACTAGCTACAATCTTTTACAGGTGTTCACCACTAAACTTTAATTTTAGCTTGTCAATCATGTTGTAAAAAATAGTGTGATGTAGTGCACTAACCAAAACCATTGTAGTTTCATGATAAAAACAGCTTTATGTTCATGGTTAAGATATTCACAGGTGAAATATACAACGCGTTGTAAAACTGCAGGTGTTTATTAAGGACAAGGACCTGGAAACCCACAGTTCAGGAATGCAAACATACTTCCTTGTTTTAGGACCACAAACTAAAACCTTTTATTTTCATGGCTGCAAACAAAAGAATCCATTTCAGTGTTATTCATTCAAACAATTCTCATGTGTGTCTAACTTACCATGCACTTCTTACAGCTTTAACCTTAGTCATTTATGTTTACATTTCTGGGGTTGGCACACTAAACTATTTATTGTCTCTGGGTGGCACACAGTGCAGACGCCACAGCTGTTATTCAGCTTTCCTGGTATCGTGTCTGAGTAAGTAAACTTACGGTAAGTCCAGAGTGAGATCAAAGACAAAAGTCAGGTGTCGGACAGTTATCAGTCATACAGCAGGCATGTCATGGCCTGTCTTGCTGATGATGGCCAGGTGGAGCAGTGACCTGGCCTTGGTCAGCCACGTAAAGTTTTCCCAGTAAAAAGTGCTGAGGAAGGCCCTCCTGAATTTATCACCTGACAGAGTGTACAATGCCAGGTTAAAAAATGTGTTGAGTCCAGCCAGAGGCCTGGAGATAATATATGCTGCATGCACGATGCGCTCCACCATGCACGGCGTCTCTGGTATCTTTCGAGTTTCTATCCGCAACACACGCAGGATGTGATATGGCAGAAAACACACCACAAACACCACCAGGATCAGCACGGTCACACGCCGTGCTCGCATTCGACACGGGCTGGTTGAGGAGGGCCCTTTCACCAACTGTTTCACTACACCAATGTAACACATGAATACCACCACTAGAGGGAGTAGGAATCCGATTGCAGTGAGCAGCCAGCCATACCACCGCACGTCATCGACGGGTATGGTGCTAGCAAAGTCTAAGCAGTAGGTCTTGTTGTTGCGCTTTTCCAAGGATATCATCGTTAACATGGGTGTGATTTCAGCTGCGGCGATGACCCAGACAGCTGAGCACGCAATTATACCCCAAGACTTCTGCTGCACCTGTGCAGACCTCAGAGGCTTGATCACCACCATGTAGCGGAAAACTGCGTGACACATCAGGAAAAGGATGCTCCCATACAAGTTAAAATGAAACCCAAAACGCACAAAGCGGCACATGAAGTCGCCGAGTGTCCACGAATCCCCATTGCTGTAGTAGTAGATCAGGAAGGGCATACTGAGGACGTAGAGGAGGTCAGTCAGTGCCAGGTTGACCATGATGATGCTGCTGCTCGTCCAGGGACGCAGCTTCGTCAGGTAAATACCAAGTGAAGTCACGTTGCCCACTAGGCCCACGATGAAGATGACGCCATAGGAGACAGGCAGGTAATAGCGTTTCATCAGTCGGTCCACGTCGGTGCAGTTGTGAAGTTCGCCGTAGTAGAGGATACTGGCCATGGCTGAGCCTGAGTATGAAAAGCACTTTTACAAACCACATTTACAAAATATAAATTAGAAATTATGTATGTTTTTGCACTATTTTTAAAACTGAACCTGAAGTCAATGTTTTTTAGCCACATGGTGGCAGTGTAACAAGATGTAAACCAGACCATATAATAAAGATGGACAACTTGACAGCTCCCCAAAGTGAAGCCAAAACCTCTTGATCGCCGCCTGGTGGCTGGCTGCAGTATAGGTCATAAACCTCGCCCCCTCGATGTTAGCGAAAGGGACATGGGCCAAACTAAAAACTAAAAGTACACATCAAATACATTTTTCTTTAAGATGGTTTCCGTCATTTTAGGTTGTCCCCCCGTTGTACGTTTAAGTGTTAGTTTTTCTGATAAGTTTGGCTATAATCAGTTAATTTATACTATATAATGGGGACGCAGTGTCATGATTGACAGCTGTGTGTGCCAATCGGTGTACCCATGATCAATGGTGCTGCTCACGCGACAGCAGGAACTTGATTCCACAGGGATCTCTACTGTGCAGACTCTGGCTCAAAAAGACGTCACCAGCTCATAATGGCAGCCGCTGTATCCGCAATATTTTAGCTTCTTTCTTGTACAGTGGGAGGACGCCTGCCATCTTAATATTGTCATCAGAACCAAAAAAACAACACTAACATTACCTTGTTAAGTTGATATAGCAAACTTGTTAGCAACCAGGTAAAGTCCTGTTTCTTGTCAACATAAATCCAATATTAACTCTCCTTTTAGCTCTATTTTGGTCTCCACCAACTCCTGAAAATACCTGCTAATTTCACCAGCTTGTCACAAATTTCAAAGTAGATTTCTGGAGTGTTTTCACCAGAGATAGATGCCTGCTGTGAGCCTGCGACCGCAATGAGAGCAGTGAGAATACAGAGGTGAAGTCCCTGTCGGTGTGCATATTGGGATGCACACACACCAGTATATTGTGTGAGATGAGAGATGTAGTTCACTGAGCAATTTTACTGAAAACTTTACAGTACTACGACAAACCTATGATAAACTGCGACTCTCTTGACTAAAAATAATCACTTTAATTGACAAAATTCATATGTGTAATTCATGGTTCACTTTAAATGGGATGAATAATAATTGTTTGTCTCCTGCTGTTGCCAACTGTACATATTTTCCTCAGGGCTAGGTCCAATGGGGGATACTGGAAAAGGAGGGACTTTGCCTCACTATACCATAATACCCTGGACACCTTCCACATAACATATAGTCATTTGATTAACTGTTACAGTAAAATATTGATTAGTACAGAGTAAATGTTTTCAGGTACTGACTAAATGCTGAATTAGATTAGTCCACTCCTGTAGATTTTCAAATTACAATTTCAGGTGAATACATATACATCATATGTTGTTGTGTGGAAAAATAGGCTACGAGCTAATCATCATTTCTTTTCCCTCAGCTGTCATATAATTGTCATTGGCAATTACTGCTTGAGGAAGGAAGTAGAGAGCAGGGACAGAAACCCAGAGGCGAGCAGACTAAGAAAGAAACAAACAATCAAGGCAAACGCAGTGGGAAAGCAGCAAACAAAACCTTCTTCTTTCCTCGTCAAACAGTCTGGTTTCTGAAAGCCTCTCAGGATATGACAGCGCCTATGGCATCCTGGCTTGATGGCAGCTTCCTGTAATGCTGTGCAGTGCAATCTGCTCTCATTATAGATGTGAGGAGATGTGCGAGGTGTCATTTACACATCGCATGTACACTCAGATTTCATAAGGCAGGAACTTGTACTCATTAAAATGATTATATTTTGTGGGAAAAACACACAAACTCTAATCAAATTCTAATTTAATCCAGCTGAGTGTTAAAATACAGAGGCTGAATCATAAAGGTATAGTTTGAAAAATGAATTTTTCTACTCACTTTTAGTCACAGTGTCCTCACCAGTGCTCACTCCAAGCCTTCAGCGTCTCATCTGTTTTTTTAACATTCATTCCTCCGTCACTCCTCCTCCTACTCTCTCCTCTTCCTTTCCAGTCATCAACACCCAGGGGGAAACTCCAGCATAGTTTTATTTGAAAGCTCACCGTTGTGTGCTTCACCTTCAGCCATGTGCACTAACTTCCTGGTGTCATGCTTGAGTTGATAAAGCTCAAGTGTCGCTCTATTTACCCAATCAGGTCTGGCAACACATTGGTTTGTGAGGAATTAAACTCTCCAGTGCACCTTTTGTTCAGAAAAATAAACTGGGGAGTTTCTACAGAGGTCTTTGTTATGTCTACAAACATGCATGCGATGACCTCAGTGTGACTGCAGAGCTAAGTTTGGTGCAGACACAGACCTTGGTTTCTGATTAAAGTAATGCGGAAGTTTGCAGAATGTAGGGAATCAATGCTTAAATAAATGTCACCCAAACTCAGACTTTTCAACAGCTATCACAGTTTTCCACTAGCTCTATGAGCAACCTTAAATGAATACTGTCAACTGCCAAACATCTGTAAAAATCTGTTAATACTGAATAATATGTGCATGTTGTGCAAGATATAAGTGACTTGTGCACATCTTAAATGTTGCCGTGAGCAAATCTTACAGCTGGCAGCAAGCTTTAACACAGTGGTGGAAATTAATTGTATTGTTATCAACCAGTAGCAGCACTTGTGTTGTACAAATGTAAAATGAAAGCATTCATTTGGAATCATGTTTCTGTCCACCAGCTAATGTCAAATATTCACTCTCTTTTGAGCTCTATTTTGGTCTCCACCAGCTCCTCAGGGAAATGCCTGGTTCTTAGCTGCTAATTGCTCCAGTAAGTTCACAAACTGGTCACTAATTTTGTTTGTCTCCTCTTTGGTGCTGTGCAGGTAGAGTATAGTGGGTTTATCAGAGGGTTTCAATGGTGTGACACCCAGGGGAGACACTTGCTAAGCTGCACATGACTGTTAAAGACCAACAAACCACACCAATTGTTTTTTTTAGCTGTGTTTCCAGCAGGTTTTATCCAACAAATATGGGTGTCTTTAGCAACCATTGCTGCGTTTTCTGCTGGGATAGTGCTACAAAAAGAGATTGTTCCTTTTTACCAAGAAATTGTTTCAAGCTGGTATTTTGCCACCAAAAGTGGGCAATTTAAGCCAAAACTTGATCTTTTCCAAACCATAACCAAGTGTATTTTGTGCCTTAACCTAAGCACGTTAACTGCACCATTGACAAAACATAAAGAAATTTAAAGTTTCAAAGACTCTGCTACATTATGATGTATAAATGTAACTAATTCGGGCTTTGCAGAAATGCACAATGCTACCATAAATTCTGCCAAAACAATGAGCTAAAAGGGCTAAAACACTCTCACTCTGACTTTGTCACATGTTGACGTTTTGATTGACGTCTTGGTCATGGACTTTCCACATCCTCATGCAACGTGAAAAGTACCCTGGGCGCATTGGTCGTTGACGTTCTGGGACACTGTGTCAAGTTCTGCCTCTTATAGACATTGTCTTTTTTCAAAATACACAAATTTAACTTTTACATACAGTCTTTTTCAAAATAAACGCAATACGTAGGTACAGCACTGCCAATTGACGTTTTTTTCCTTCAACAACAAAATCACGTGGTTAGGTTTTGGAAAAAAGAACAGGGTTTGGCTTTAGCTTTAACTTTCGTCCTTGTCCCATCGCGTTTCCCCCTGACGTCGCCAGGCGCTGTTAAACTATAACGGCAACCGGCCGCGTATCATGCCAACGTTAAAGATGCTTTTTTAATTGGTTTCCGATGCCGCAAGTCACTGTCCAAGTGTTGGATTTCGACGACTTTTGAGTGAGACCAGGCTCACTGCAGATGGGTGAGAATTCTCTGTGGGTTCATTACCACAAAAGACACCTTTCACATTGCCGAATACTGTCAGTTAACTTGAGGGCAAGGTGCTTCTTTACCTTGCAAACTTGACTTGCTCACATCAGAGCACCTTATTGTTCCCAAATTAATGATATTCAGCTTTGGTTTCACTCTACATAGCTACTTGTCCCGTCAGAATTGTGCCCCTCAAGCCAATACATAATCCTCCCCTAACCATAGCCAAGGTTTTGAGCCTAAATGTAACCACACATTGACTACAGTGTTGTCGAAACATCGAGAAACATAAAGTTTCAGCGTATCTCTCCAGAATAACGTGCAGATTTGTAATGTCCATGGTTTTCAGAAATGTACAATGGCAACAATTTTTCTGGCACCTGGGTTGTTCAGCCCTTCCATTTTAACTGCTACTTCATCTTTCAGTAACTGTATTTCAACCATTTTAAATGTTTCATGTGCACATTTTCAGCAGAGTGCATATTTTGCCCTTTGTAGTTTTATGATTAAAACATCTTAATGTTCAAAATGTAAAAGAAACGGCAAAACCTTTCAAGGTCGAGTACCAGCACAGACCAGTAAAAGTTTTCACAGTCACATAAAGCAGCAGTATAAATTCTAACTATATGCCATTACTTACATTAATACATGTTAACCCTAAGCTTCAGTAAGTGTGATGCCAGCTTTTACACATCTCCTTTACAGCTGCACCATTCTGAAAAATGATTGATTTATATGCAGTGTAAAATCCTCCGTGTCCTGTGTCATTATCCTGTTGGCATAAAGGTAAAAACATGTTAAACACCGTCATGATTCAGTGTGTATGTATTCCATACAACGTGAGAGTAAACTGCACGGACATACCTCAACTTTTCCAGTCACGTTTGTTGTTTCCACTTCTCTAACTCACAGTGCAGTAACCCACGGTCACACTGACACTCATAAATGTGTGACACGTGTTTGAAGATTGTTATGCTTCACCTGCTATTAACCCACTTCCACTTCCTTGTTTACCTGAAAGTACAAAGAAGCTACAAATATACATCTTCTCTCCCACGGCTGCCCTCGACGTGTTGATACAGTCTCTGTAATGTCACTTTTCTGTAGATCACACAAAGTCAGAAACAGTAAAAGAAGCAGAAGTTTACAAATGTTTATTTTACAAAAGAAACGCTAGAAATGGTGTAAACAGAGCTTTAAAGATCAATCTAAATTGTGGCTTCTCTTTTTTTAATACTGTGGGGATGGTGCAGTCTTTGAAGAGGCAGCAGAGCCGAGTGTTTATAGTACAGATAAAAATCATCTGAGTTCAGAGAAAAATTAATGTCAAAGATCAACTCGACACACAGAAATCTGAGTGCAGAGGATGAGACGCCTCGGAGGCAGCTTGCTGGGGGAGGAGGGGGGTGTCAGGAGGTGCTGTTGGGGGGGTTAAGAAAGAAATAAAGTGTTTCTGTCTACAGTTTGGGCATCCTGGCAGCATTGAGGCGCATGGACACACAGGAGGAGCCGGCAGCGTACCGCATCTCCCTCAGCATCCCACTCCACTGCTTCTTATCATCCTCATACCTAACGAGACCAAGAGGAGAGTCAGCTTTCTGAGCAAATACAGTGGTAACCAACCATAACATGTTGGTCACATAACTTAAGAAGACTTACTGCCAGACGTCGGTGACCTCTGTGGGAGCCACCTCCTTGTTCTCCATCTGAATCATGGCAAAGCCGCCCACAGCGTACAGGGAGCCGCCATTGCTCAACAGGTTGACAGAGCTCCTCTCCTGGGGGAAGTCTGTAAATGGCTCCCACCTGAGGAGAAACAACATTAGAAGAAGGTCAAGTGTAAGATGGAGCTCTCATTTTAGATGTCCTTTGTACCTTGGTACATTTGTCCAGTTTCATTATGTTTAAGCGGCTAGGATAACTGAGATGTGGTGTACAGAGACCAAAAAAATGCAACATGAAATATCTAAGTAAGACACTGTGAAGTAAGAAACATACCATTTATACAGGTATATGAATATATATGTAAGTATGTATTTTCATTTTTATTTCACTCTGGAAATCTTGACAACTGCTACCGAAATTAGCCCGTTAGCCCCTGTTAGCTAACAACGGTGTCAAAGTCATTCGGAAACTACTTATTAAACCAAATAAATTAAATAAATAGATAAACCAACACGTTCTCACGTTCAGCAAATACGGCAGTTTGGTGGTCCTACACTTCAAACTATGACACTAGGTACCCCTTTAGCATCAGTTTTTGATGTTCAGAGACTGCGTGTCAATTTCAGCTAGTTACATCAGTTAGTGTCTTTTCAGAATAAACTTCCATGTTTACAGGAAACATAGGTTTCATCTCCAAAACTACTTAAGTTTTAGGCAACAAAACAACTTGGTTAGGTTAGATTATGGAGTTTGTTACATAACTTAAGTGAGTTAACAACTGTGATGTATGTGACGAATTTCATATGACATATGTCACATGAGGGTAACTATGTGACGGCCAGTGACAAAGCTGCCACTTTACACTGTGGGAATGAGAAAAGGCTGAATAAACAGTACACTAAGATTAACCTTTAATTTATTTATCTTAACAAAGCTTCACACCGAGGTGCCAAGTAGCTCCCTTGGTAGAGTAGGCGCCCCATGTACAAAGGCTACGTCTTTGTTGCAGCGGCCCAGATTTGATTCCAACCTGCAGTCCTTTGCTGCATGTCATCCCCCTTTCACGCTACCACTTCCCTATCATATAAAGGCCAAAAAAAACAAGCTCCCTGCTTAGCCTGCTAGGTAGCTTGGCAGATTATTGCCTAGCATCAAGCAAGCCAGTGCTAACAGCAGCAGATAGCTAGT